TCTTCAACAATACATGACCATATCACTTTTTTTGCCACATCAGACGCTAAAATCATTAGAATTATTTTTTTTCAAAAATCCGAACGATACGATATAAACGGCAGAGCACGGAATATGCGCTTTGAATGCGTTTGATCGCTTGAGGAGATCACATCGTGAGATAGAACATGAACAAAGAAAGTGACCTGATATTCCATTACTGTCCACTTGTACATCGTCTAACATTTCAATGATGGTTGGTACTACACTCAGAATGGATGACGGGAACAGTGGCTGAGCAACAGGCATTTGCTGACGAGAAGACGATGTGTGCATCTCACCCTCTGAATCAGTGAATAGTTATCGGTATGAAACTATTGCTATGAAACTATTGTCATAGAATGCTGGATAATCTTTCTAGTCAATGAATAAAACCTTTTGCACAGGATTATGAGGATTCTTAGATATACGATATGTTCCTCGCACGACAACATATTCATTCATACGCATTTTGAAAAAATCCGATGTGTTGAATGGTAAAATTATCAGCAATGTTGAAACTGTTAATGTTGTTAGAATCTCATTTTCTAGTATCCAATAACACGATATATGCATGATAGTTTAGAGTGGCGAAAATCATTTTGGAACTTGCCTTCTCCTGACGCGTCACTGGTAATTTGTTGAGAGGTGAGTTGATGATGGAATAAAGCCGGCTCGTAGGCCGCTTGATGAATAATAGCAGTGGCTCTTAGGGGGAATTTTTGTCTGAGGGCAGATTGCCGTTCTTCCGCTTCCCTTACGGCTCTTCTCACCATTTCTTGTTTTTGCTTTCTTCGCGTTCGAGTCATTGTCATGATGGTTTGGCTCTAAAGATAAGCTCCACGATTACGACATCAATCCCACAACCTATTGCCTAATATGAATCGCAAGTCATTGTCTTGAATGAAACGTCTCCACAATATGGGATAGTCGACTCTATACAATATGTAATAATCCAACTACCAAATAAGTTCAACTGCGTTCATCACTGGATTTGTGTTTGAACACTTCGACGAAAATATGACGAATACATTACAAATATGGATAATATCATGAATTGGACTGCAAAAAGTAGCTGTTGTCTCGCCATATTTGTATCTTTTTTTTTGGTCCGCTTTATCTTATTGTTAGATGTCAAAAATACATTCCCATAAGAGGGAAGAGTCTAGCGATTTGACATGAATTGGGGACAAACCGTGGCTTGTTCCTCTTCCTTCAAGGAGAGTTCTTCAACTTTTGTTTTGACATGCGGCATCCACGGTGGATCGACGACTGCCGATTGACTCTGACCGATTGGCGGAGATGGTAAAGTGAAGTCAATACCTGGCGGAGGAACCTTGAATTTGAAAAATATCAGTTGCTTCGAAACTATGTAATAGCTGACTTCGTAATTATGATCCTATGTTGCAGAAGTTTAAGAATTGATGAGGTTCAATTGAACAATAACTGTGAATGCGGATTTCTCTTGAATTCTTCCGAATAACTCCTAAATTTGGTTTTTCCAGGTGGAAAACTGTGAAATGAAGTTAAAACGTCGGCTTTGAATTCGGTCAGAGATCGAAACTGAACTAAATTCAGAGCTCTAGACAGCTCTGTCGCCCTAGACATTTCCAGAAGTCCTCTCACTCTTCCTGATTAGTCATAAATCTCCCGGATTAACTCATCAGATTAGAACAGTTGAAATGATATGATGTGCTGACTTTAAAGTTCATTTGAGCTCCATCCTCCATTTTCAACCAAACGTGGAAACGATTCCGCCAGAGCGCATGAAACCGCCGGATTGCCGCAGTTCTTACGCTTGCATCTGGATTCGTCAAGTCTTTTTGCATAACCGAAACAGTAGCCTCTTGACGCCGGACGGCCGTTACAATGAACAGAGATGCTGAAAAACTNTATTGGCATATTCTTTGAAATTTGATCCAGTTCCAGTGTTTTTAATGAAAATCACATATATTTATTCCAGTTTTCAAAGTTCATACTTATCACTATTTCCCTGCAAGCCGTGCTTTCAGTCATACGTGATATGCATGGATTTCGGAGGAAAAATAGTCTGAATTTCAGAGCTCTGGCTAAAATGAGTTGTTTGGTTTCATTCAATTGACAGTTTTGTATCGATGAACATTCCTATTTGAGCAGGGCATAATGGCGAACCTGCTGTTGCAACTACATGTGCATCTGAATGAACAAGCAGTTGCCATGATATATTCAAGGT